AAATCGTCACACACACACACAAATGAGGCCTGTCTGCATTAGGCCATCGGACAAGTGAAATTATTGATCAGCCGTTATGATCGATATTTCAGTGAATTCGAATTACTGGTAAACAGATTCACCTTGTATTCTCATTTGTTATTAGCATGACCTAAATCACGTCGGAGTTAATTCAGAACGGATTATGCTGACAATTCTCTATTTGTTTATTGTGTCTTTTGCCTCATCATTTGGTCAGGGTCGAATATGCGCGAAAATACCGGCCTATGCACATCCGAACGCTTATCCGGTGAACAACTTTGATTTATTCGAATATTACGGAGTGAGATTTTTCAAAAATTATATCCACCCAGGAACTGGAAGACATTGCACCGAATTTGAATTAGACAAAAAAGTTCAAATATTGCGTTTTGTGGCATACAATGCTCAAACTGGTAGCATCTATCATGACTGTAAGCCACAGGATCCGGCTTCATCCGGATGTTGCCCGAATGTCCGGTCTCAAGACAGGCCTCAGTTTGAAGATACTTGTCAGACAGTACTGTATTTTATGCTGAGCAAATATGGGACTATTCGAATGATATGGGAACACATCACAGGTGCACCCAATTGGAACGATACGGTGATTGATGTATATGTGCAATTTCACAATCGACAGGCACGTTTTGTTCACATGGATAAAAATTTGTTTGGATTAGACAGTTGTTATCATATTGCCCGACACGGACACACTTCAAGTCCAAAAGGCTTCTCTGAGGCATTTGATACGGCCGAACAAAAACGATTGGAATTTCAAATGTTGGAAAAATTTAGTCCAATCTATCCCGCTTATCAAGCACGACTGAATTTGTTGATGTGGACTAGTACATTGCCCCTGAACGTAGTTGCATATGTTTTCACTGGCAATTTATACACCTCCCCGCATGTGGAGCGACAAAGGGTGACACACTTTTCCACGTCAACCGCACCAAGTAGTGCGTTTCATGAGATTATCCAATTTTATCCGAATTATCGCAGCTATATCAAAACAGCTACCATTGAAGTTCAGGTGAATCGAGATGCGAAAGCGTTGCTCATCCTATGTGGACCTCAAATTGACGCTGATCTGGACCATATTAACCAAATAGTAAACAAATGGATTTCGGGGGACTATTCTGTCCCATCATTTGATTGGCCTCCCGGAAAAAATTGGGCTGTTCGTCTGATTCGTCTGGAGATCACCGAGAGTGTGGTTGTTCGGGAGGGTGAAACGGTTCGATTTGGACGCATCAAGATTCCGCCGATACTAATCAAATGTTTCGTGCGACAGAACATGCACGAGTCCTATAGGGAAACTAATAGAATCGTGGTGGAATCGTTTAAAAGCGCTTACGAAATAAAATCAGTCACTGTACCGGATAGTGGTATGTATAAATGTGTCACATCACAAGGCTCGATAGAATTTCAAAACGTTTACTTGGTGGTACTTCCGAGAGAATCCGATATACAAATATATCTGACAAACAAGCCACTTTTGTTAGGTGAGGATTTGAAAAATTACTATCCGTTCATTCCACTTAAAACGTTGTATTTATTCCCGGGCGAACCACTGATTGTCAATTGTGTCTACAATTTGACCAGAGCAATTGACAATTTCAGAGGTTTAGAATTTGAAGATAACTTGGCCACGACAAAGCGTGTTATACCGTTACGTTTTCTCGGTCGACATGTACGTTTACTCCAGGAAACTTTTCTTTTCGTTCAGTCCTATGAAATTGATCATAATTTGCATTATACAGATGGAGAATTTCATTGGTATAGGTGCGGACATGTGTACGAACAAAATTTTGATTTGGTGAAAGACAGTGAACTTCTCAGGAATTATAACACCATAAGACCTTTGAAAAGAATCACTTATCATACACTTGAACTACAAGTGCACATATTGCATCCTCCCAAATTACTGCGCAATCTGAGTCGGTCTAATATGATCGAAATACGGAAAGGGTTGTCTGAGGGAACCGCCAACGAAGAACACATCCACTATGTAACAAATCAAACATTACAAATCCCATTCCGTCCCGGGACCGCAGAATGTGATATTCCGGCGGTATATGACATAAAAAATTGTCATCCATCTGTGTGGATAGTGGAAACCACATGGAAACGAGTGAATTTCACATTTTGTCCAGTCAAAATCCGTAATCCTTCTAAAGAACTGATCAAAACTATTAACCGACAAATGACTTATACATTCACTCCTTTCTGGTCAGTGCATCGGATACAATTTGTTTGCAATTTACATATGTATCACAAAGTTCTGGTGATAATGATTACTTGTCGGAACGGTTTGTCGCACAATCTGACTGATGTGGATGATGCAATTCGAAACAAATTGTTCATACAAATCGGCTCGAGGTTAACCCGGAAACCAACTGTGGACAATTTACAATCAGACAGTCAATCAAACGGTTTGTCTGATGTAATATTGCTCCCGTTGAGACCAACCTGGTCGTCCGTGGTGAAAGAGGGCCAGTCTGTTCAAATTCCCTCACTCTGTTCATGCAGACCGAATGAAAATGTAACTTGGGCATATCGTTTAACCCTATCCCGATCGTTCGTGCCTATATCTAACAGGTTTCAGATCAAAGAAAGAAATCGGATGAAATTGTTGGAACTACGAAAAGTGACAATTGCGGATGGAGGATGCTATACGTGTTTTTGCAATAAAGAAGATCAAATCAGATATTGGGATGATCGAACCATACACGAACACACACTGTGTCTGACTGTACTAGGCAGTGTGGGAGAACACTATCTTTTGTATCATGAAACAAAACTCTATCCACCGAGCCAAACCATGCGAGTAGGTGAACCGTACAGACTGGTCTGTACTGTGAATGCACCGGAACACATCATTGGACAACTGCGCATAGATATTCACTACCGAATCGGGGAAGATGTGACAAAATATAGGATAAAAACGGAAAAACTATCGCACAACTCACTAGGACATTGGATAACGTATGTACAAGAATATCGGATTGCCAGAAACGTGACGGATATGCATAAAACTCATTCATTGGAATGGATCTACTTCGTAGAAGGTCAAACGGATTTGCACAGTGAAAGTTTTAGTTTACAAAAGCGTATAACTGTGGAAATAGATCAAAATGTTGAACCACAAATTTTGGATGAACATTTATACTGCACCGTACCTTACATATTCTCCAATTATGCCGGAGACAGCTGGCCCATGAGTGCCCGAGAATTTCATAGAACTGGAACACCAGAAAGACGTTTGGAACGAGCAGTAAAAATATATGTTCCAGTGAAATTCTACAATGCAGACCCACATGTGTGGATGTGGTTACTAAAAACGGACCTGCGCTACGATAGTTGTATACTGTTGGAAAAGAACGAAATAAGGGGATTAACGGATAATGGACGCGTGCAAAATTTCACATTCACTTGCCGAATTCGTGCCGAATGTACCGCTCTGATAATTATCGGACTCAACAAAAAGGGTGCAACAGAGCCAGTGAAAAAAAATCTAAACTTGTATTTCATTTTGCAGATTAAAGCGTTCTATGAAATGCCATTGGCAACGGTAAAAAAGAAATTCACTTTTCCGCATGGAACATGGGCCACAATGCGCGTGCAACGTCTTAATCTCGGCTGGGCTGCTGCGGTCTATGAAGGTGATCAAATCATATTTTTAGGAAGTCATCACAAAGCTGGTTACGTTCAATTTGATGTGTTCTATCGATTTAATCAGACGAGTAAATTCCGACCAATGTATTTGAACGAGACAATCGGGATAGATTTGTTTAAACGACCAGCCCGTTCCAAATTAAATGATACGGGTTATTGGATGGCACGGATGACCCGGCAAAGATCGGACGTGTTCGAACGCTTTGTGAAAGTAATTCCGAAAAAACCAAAGATAGCATTTTATGCATCTTTAAATGAGTTAAAACAGTACAATGAAGCAGAAGATCTGATTAAAACAAATCACATTGGTACAGTGCACGAGAATCGTTTGTATTTTTTCTACTGTGTGGTAAAAGACGACCCGAACATACTTTTACCTCCCATTAGTGTCAATCTCTCGCTGACCGATGCAGACGGAACAGTAGTACCAATTGACTATATCGGTCAAGATAAACAACCAACTGAGTCACGATTCGCATTCAGAGCAATGATACCGCCTTACGGTGTACTACTTATTCCGCTCAGGATGCACATTCAAGTTGTCTATCCACGATCCATATTACCGACATTGACAGCCAAGGAATTCGAGTTCCGGCGAACACAAAACGATTCTATCGAATTTGAAATCAAACCTGATAGTTCAGCCCCGCTCTTATTTCCGGAAATCACAGAGTGTAATAATGATACTGTATTGAGAAATATGAAAGGTCATGCGTATGGGACTTTCAATCCGAGCCAATTTTCAATATCCGGTGCCCTTCATCGATTTCGTGAACAATTACTCAGTTGTTCGATCTTTCACACATGTCCCCGGGATCAGGAACTGCTAACAGTTCATTTTGTACTCAGACGGGAGAAACGTGCTGTGCTTTGTGATGTGCACTCATTTAGAGAACAAAAGGGGAACAAATTTGTTCAACGTTATCATCGATCGTTAAAACTGAAAAAAATTTGCATTCATAAATTTGACTGTCCGATCAATGCGGATACCGGTGCATTGGTTGTGCTTTTGACCCATTGTGACAACAATTGTAGCATTGTACAAAAATCTGAACAGGTTTTGGATTTCTACGTGCAAAATGTGTTCGATTACTATCAGAATTCATCCAATAGAATCGAGACAACTCTGGACCAACAGAATCATACAATTCGTGTGGCTTCATTTATTCAACGCATTTCGACCGAATATCACGGCTCAATGGAGATCAATGAACGATGGAATGTGTGGTTCAGGCCGACGAAAGGTTGTACGATACGGAATTACAAGTGTTATCATACTGTGTGGAATCGAGAAAACGAGACAACGGAATTAAAAATGAACAAGAAAAGGGACTATTATCAGTCTCAGAAAAGGGTCAGCTCCCGAGATACTGGCCACGTTTGGTGCGTCTGTGACCGGACAGTGTTCATGCCAAAGCAATGGTATTTTATTATACCAGCGGAAGAGGAATTCCGAATCGAGATTTCCCTGATCAAGTTCAACGCCAGTGAAAATCCCGTGAGAGATGATGGACGCCGATCCGGACAAAGTTACCGACACTTTATTTTCCAGTTACCCCTGTATGTGTACTGCTTCCAACCGATTCATACATATTACGGTCCGGACAATCAGACCAATAACTTTCTACTGAGGTGGGACGATTCTGTGGTAGATTTTATCCCTTTGAAAGCTCTTCCAATAATACAAAACCGAACACATTTGCGTTACACATTTCAACTCGATCCGTTGGAATACTATCGTCCAGACAGAGTTCTAAGATTCCTTTGGGTCATTAAATACAATGATAAACTTTTGGCTCCGAATGACAATCGAGGAAACATGCCGATTATGCACGTTGAACAAACGATCGAACCAATACATCACAGAAGCACTACACGGTTGTATGATAATTCGCTTAGATGCAATCGATTGGAATTACTGAATCATTGGAATGGATTTGGTAGAGGTATATTCAATACCGAGTTGTTACAGGTAAATCGTTTGGAAAAGAAACCGTTGGAAGGTGAACTGCATTGTAATTTTAAGTACAGTGAGGATAATAGAAATCACAAAATATTAGTCTTTATTACGGATGCCCAAAACGATTTGCATCGATCGTGTGTCGTGAAAGTGCATTTGGACACGGAACTTAAAGTGTGGGCAGACATAGCAAAACACACCTGTACCTTCTCGTGTTCTGTATTCGTAACAGATAGTCTACTAACAGTTGCAATATTTCTGAACACGGATTCGGCAAAATATAAAAATACAGAGAAAGAGTTCTATGCATTTGTAATGCGGGAGTTGAGATATCTATTAACCAACCCCGATAACCAAACACAAAATCCATTCATACTACCGTATGGGATATATGTGGAATCCAGATTTGTGCGTCTCAATGTCGGTTGGAAAAGTGTCTACGAGACTGGTCAGAAGTGGAAACTGCCTGTCTTTCATCGTCGGGATAATTGTAAGCAGGCAATTATAGAAAAAATGGAATCGGGAGAATGGGTTCAAAAACAAGTGATCAATAGAAAATCTAAGGGTGCGGAGATCGTTTCCAGTGATAAAGAACTTCAATGGACGGACACCGGTTTCTATAGGATCACATGCAACAAGAATCTGATTGCTGGTGCACGTTTATTGATCGTTCTCCCACATAACTCCATGATTGAGACATACACCATACAAAACGAGCAGACAAAAGAATACGGTGAATTATTTTGGCTTGATGTGAATAATATTTTCTACGTAAACGTTCGACCTCATCCGATGTTTGAAAAAGACGGAAAACTTGAACTAGTATTGAAAGATTTTGCTCCTACCGGTCAACACAGTCAGTTGGTCCCATTCGAACCGTTGGAAGTGATTTATCACAATCGATTAGTTTATTCGTTTCGAGTTCGTATTCCCAAAGCCAATACCTATAGGCGACCGCTTTTAGCCATCATAAAACAAACATTTCAAACAATTGTACGCACCGAATATGATACAAATCCCGGTAATATAAGCTGGGTGATAGAAAAACAAATTTCCATAAACATACGCGACGATATTCGATTGCCACTCATATTTGACGAATATACATATTGCGAACGCGCTCAACTGTTTGAAAATAATCAGCATCATGGAAATGGTCGATTTGATCCAGTCTTATTTTATCGTGCACTTGAAAATCGGACGTTGATTCAGGAAAAAGTGGAACCCTGTGCAATGACCTATAGTTGTAGACATTCCGATTGTACTGCTCTACTGTTTGTGATCTCTACGGGGTCCGAAATCCCGCAACAGTGTCATGCGCTCGCAGACACAGACGAACTGCATTTTGGTAACCCGTGTAAATGGACTCCGGATAGAACGAATACGACGAGAAGAAAACAATTTCGATGTCGTCTACAACCGCACGCAATTGCAATGCTTTTCGTTCTGATAGATTACTCCAACGGGACTGCGGGCAATTCGGACCGGATGCTAAATCGCACGGTAAACTGGTTCGAACGAAAAATTCACAAACACTTGACAAACGGGACAGATGAAACGGTCGAACAGATCCCGATTCTCGCGGGGATTGCACTTTGCACTCGCCTATATCGAATTCGTATCGGTTGGAGTGCATCGGTTCGGCTAAAAAACTACTGGCGAATGGTGGTTCGTAGATCGGATGAGCCAAGGAGCTTAACATGTTACTATCGACGTACACCAGCAGAAGATTATCAGAAACTTTTCGAGTATCAATTTACCTACTCGGAACTGGCGTACACCAGGCCTGTGCCTGTGGAAATCCAGCACACGGGCTATTATGAGTGGAGATACATGGAAAACGGTTCTCCGAAAACGTTAGGCGTGTCACGCTATATACTGGTCATTCCGGATGAGTCTATGTTACAAATGACAGTTAGCCGCGAACTGTTCGATACTAAGACCGATATACAATACGATTCACCCAGGGTAAAAAAATATCATCTTCCTGCAGAAGGATCTGTTTACATTTACTGTGCTCAAACCTATGTGCCTAGTCTTCCAAGACCGTTCACATTCAATCTTGTTTTCAGTACAACAAGAAATCCGAGAGTTCAGACCAGAGAGTTGGAGAAATTTCAGACTTATATTAAACAGTACGAAGAGCGCCACGTATACAAATTTGACAGTTACTTGTATCGATTTGCTTCATCCTCCCTGGTGGCCACTTGCAATTTGGCTTACAACAGTTCCATATTCTCCGCAGATGATCTGATTGAATCGAAAACAATGAAACCATTTAAGAAGCAAAGAACACTGGAATTACCAGACGAATTTATTTATACCCCGGTGATATTTCACAAGGAGACCAAAACAAGTGGACCTGCATTTCTGGACAATTACAATGAGAGTGTCAAACGATTGAGCGCGGTCGAGTTCTTTAAAATGGTCAATTCGGAACGGATTGCCGAACAGATTGTACAAATTAATGTGACTCATTACAATGGTCGTGGTAGAGCATTTGAGCGAATATGGTTTTTAGGGCATAAAGATCAAATGATAAGATGCAGGCAACCGGACCGGATCGAGTTGAATTCCTCGTTTCGGAAAACAGATGAGGAATCGGAACCTTTGTTCCCCTATGAGAATATGTACATGTCCATTTTCGAGTGCCTCATCCAACCGTCTTTCAAGGCCATGATACTCGCAGTGGTCAATATTGAAAAAGATCGAGGTATACAAACACGATTATCCAACGAAATGGAAAAAGAATTTCGTAAAATTGTTAGTTATTTCTACGCAAATCCATCGTCTAAGGAGGTTAAGGAATACCGATTTAAAAAACATATATGGGGCACGTATATACTGGTACCCATAAAAGCGGGCTGGAATGCATCGGTGCCACTCGGCAGTTACTGGAGTATGCTTGTTCGTGACAGATCAGATCCATACAAGAATTTACAATGTATGTATTCACAATATGAAGATCAATATTATAAATGGATCAAATTAGACATGAAATCAGACCAAATACAGTATACACATACCAAGCCAGCCGATTTTTATGACAGCGGTTGGTACAAATGTTGTTTCCGAGAAAATTGTTTCTCTCTTCCCCGAAATTTGTATGTGATTCCCACTCGGGCAATTATCAGAGGTTTATTTTTAGATTTACCGCCTGAAGTTTTTGACATTGATCAGTATCCGCAAGATATTCAGAATTTTGTAATCTTCTATGGTCAACCAAAGTATGGTTACTTCATCGTTCAGACCAAGCCTTATGGCCCAAAATATGATAGATACACATTGGAAATCAGAGCTGTGGATTGGGAAAGTGGTAGATTAGTTGAGATCAGTTACTATCCACTTGGTATCATAGTGTTCACATATCTTGACGTTTTTGTATACAAACTGACTGGTCCGGAATACGGCGTCTATCGTGAACCAATCAAAGGACAATTCAAAATGTTTTTTTCGGACGCTAAACTTAAACAGGAAGATCTAAGGGAGGACAGGTATATACAACCAGTGATTTTCGAATTTAATTATCACGTTTATAAAACTATTCGGCCAGTAATATTTTATGAACTGTCTACTGCAGATAATGCAGTCATTCAGAATACTTTGACCAAATTAAAACGAAACATTAAATATGCAGATGAATTTGTAATCCCAGAGGAACCGGTGACAGAAGCGATAGTCCAATTTGATTTGTTTATCGGTCTAGGATATCCCGTAGGTCGATTTGCAATGGAAATATTCCAAGACACCGGTCAAATCACCTACGAGGAATGTGCAATAGTCAAGCAGATAAATCTGACCAGTAAAAATGTGCCCGACCAAATAAAAAAACATCGAACATTTGAACAAACCAATGGGACTGGATTTGTACGCCTACAGATTCGGTGTTTTGCGACAATTTACAGTGTGGCTATTAGCATGTACGCATGGAACGTGCGTCCGAACGGTCCTAGCCTAGATCAGGCCAAATTTGAGTTCAATCTACGTTTTCGACCGATCGTTATGAGTTGGATTAAAACACCGGAACCAAACGTTCCGTATCCGATCGAAATGCCCAACTATGGCTTGGTCGATTACAGTTGTTTCGGATTCACAGTCGAATCGAAAGTACTGTTTGAGATTGATGAACCATTGCAAATTTTTGGACTGTTAAAAAATGAGATTGGCCCAATCGAGTGCTACTTCCGTCCGAAAAGTTCCGACCAAGTGAAACGACTGGATTTGGATTTTCGTGTGAAAAAATATACGAGTCAAATAGAACTGACTCATCCAGCACTGAAGTTTGAGCATAATGGATTGTACTCGTGTAATGCTTCAAATACATCTTGTCCGACCTGTGCACCGATTGTGGTCTTGCCGGAACGTACGATTTATGTGATGCCAAACGAATCTATCACTTCTCTGTTGGTGACCGGACAAGAATTTGGTCAGAACGAAAGCTGGCTTGACGATCCCGGTTTACTGGATCATCGAGGGAATCCGGTACTGTCGTGTGAAACACCATACGTATTTCATTGCATTTATTTCTCCGGTGTGGCAACCATACCACCACCATCGGTCAATTTTCAACTTTCATCAAACAAGTCCGAAGTGATTCCATTAGCATTCAGTGAGCGGGACAATCGAACAATTCATTCATTTCTCGCCTACACACCCGAGGCAAATATCGATAGTCCGACACTGACAGCCGAATGCCGGTTTGATTATAATTTCACACGAAAAACCACATATCATTCGAAACAAGTACAACGCTTGGTTACACGTACACGCCTAGTCAGGTCCAGAATTACCATTCCAGCCAACATATTCACTCAGTACACAACATCGACTAATAAACCGATGGAACAATTGTATAGGAATCTCAGTGGTCCTGTTCTGACAGCCAAACAATTCCATGCGCAGTACTGGATTCGTCGTGAACCGGAATGCGTGGTCACGATCAGTCATCTGATATCGCTAGGTCATCCGACAGGTTTCGTGGATGTATGGACAGTTTTTCAGGACGGTCAATCGGTTTATCAGGAACCATGTGTGAAAGTCAATTCTACCGAATTACAATTCGAACGATTGCCCAAACCCATCAGACCACAGCCAAATTTGCATCAATTTCTAAAATCCAGTTTTGTCAATCTCACCGCGATTTGTGTAGTTCGACCGGAACAGGTTGCATTGACTGTGGTCGTATGTAATAACAGACAGACACTGATGACCAGGAAAATCGATGCGAACTATCAGTCTGGTCTGGTAAAAAACATACACAGTTGGATAAAACAACCGAAACAAGAAGACATTTTATGGGCAAACTCAACATTCGATCGTTATTGCACCCATAGAACTATTCGTTTGTTTATCGGTTGGAATGCAACTGTGTGGACAAACACACCGATCCGGATGCTTGGCTATCGGGAGAAAAATGAACGTGGACGATTGCGATGCTATTATCAGCCGGAAATTTCGGAAACATTTCTACCTTTACCATCCCCATTTGAGATTATCGAACGCAGTGATATCGGATTTGAACTGTATAAACCGAGGGCGAAATTGGATGATCATGGCTATTATACCTGTAATATGACTCGTTTTTGTGCAAACTGTTCAGCCCGAACCGTGCTGGTTCTCCGACACCTAGTCGTGCTCCCATCCGAACAACAAATTCGTCTCTATCTACGCCCAACAAGCGATCGAGATGACAAATGGACAAAACCTGAATTCAATCAATGCGATACAGATCGTGTCCCATATCTACTTGCAAAACAGCAGACATTTGTATTCTGTAATTATGCTTTTCTCAAAAATGTGATTTCTGTAGAGGCTAAAATTTGGGTGAAAATGACCGGGGGGCAAACCAGCACATCACAATCGGTGGACATGTCCCATGCGAAACGATGGGACTTGGGAAATGATCGGCAAAGCAATATCACCGAAGTGTACCGTCTGCGCGCACCGGAACCACGATATGTGANAATTTGATTGTCACTTGTGAACTTCAATATCGAAGGCTTATTTCAGCGTCTGCGGAGGATATGATCCCGTTTTCACAAGAACCCTATACTATAGCGCGAACACGTTTGATTCGGATCAGTGTACGATTGAAACCGTTTATTTACAAACAGTTCACAAAAACCGATATGCCCGAATTGACTGACCTGTTCCGAATTCAAGTGCCCAATTCTGTGAACAGTTCCGTCCAGTTTCACAAAATGGGATTGCCGGGTAAACGTCTTGAAGGATTGCTTTCAACCAAATTCCTGATCTATCTTGGTTCACCCAGAGGCCTGGTTAAACTGATATTGTTCTACGAGTTAGGCACACCAGAGTGGGTTGAGTGTGGCCTGAAAACAATGCAAAATTTGACCGACTCAAATGTACCGAGCGAGATCCAAGACAGCAGTGTATGGTTCGATAGTAGAGGAGAAAATTTTGTCAAGTTTCAAACAACTTGTCATTTGCTACCGAACCAGTTGGCCATGCTTTTGATCATTGCCAACACATTCGACCCAAAAGCAAATATCGAAAAGATACATACCGCTTTGGTCATGAATTTCTCCAAGACTGTAATCCAATGGGAATTGAGGACAAATCATACTGAACAGGTTCAACTTCATTCGTCCATTTATGGCTATGTGACTTTTCAATTAGTCCGAGTTCGCATTGGTTGGAGAGCCACTATTCGACCAACCGATCCAATTATTCTATTCGGTGGTGCAAACATGGCAACCCAGAAACTGCCAACCTGTTATTATGCGATCGAGTTAAATTCGAATAAGCCACAGCTTATCAGTTTAGAGCGCAGCGAATTTTTTCTCTATCCCCGACCCCAAAACGGGAGTTATGAACTGATCAAGCCACGAGTTAGACCGCAAGATTCCGGCTATTATTGGTGTCAGTTGGAAAGTTGTAGGGAATGTCGATTGCAAGAACGCGGAGCTCCCCGACGATTGATTGTTCTCCCAACTAGTTTGACCGTAACCGTGTTGATATTGGATAACTACGTGGACACGGATCAGTTGAGGAAAGCTAACAGTCCTTTATCAGGTCAGGTGAATTCGACACTAATTGTCTACACGGAACAATCGTATTTTGCGTTCTGTGAATTACTTATCACCAAAGGTACCATCATGCCAGTTCAGATGAATCTAAGCTATACATATGGTACAGCTGATAAGAGTGTAATACAATCCTTATCATACGAGTTTCGTAATCGCAGAAGCCTAGAGTATCCCAACTATACGACCGTATTGGACACATATCAGTTCATGACACCCGAAGTGAAGATTGCAAAACACATCTTAGAAATGCGTTGTGAGTTACAGTTAGCGGCTAGTATTCCGGTCGAAGATGTGAACGAGAATCTGGAACAGGCCGTGTTGACCAATCACAAGAAATTAAAACTTAGACAGTTTCATCCACCCCAGATCAAATGGACCACGTTCTACACCGATCGGACGGAGCTTACTGAACTGATTCGACTAAATCTAACCGATTCGCCCAATGTGACCAGTTTCAATGAACA